GAGGGCAAGATTAGAGAGAGGTTTATCTGAGAAAGATCTGAAGGTTTTCATGGACTTCAAGCTCAAAATGATTCAGCAGTGTGATACAGAAGCCCAGAAACATAAAGGGGTCTTTGGCTGCTTTAGAGAGGCCTATCTTCCGAGCGTAAGCGATCGCTCCTGCCCTGGTCAGACTGAATCTAGAGTATTGTGCTCAGTGGTAGGCCCCCCAGTCTAAGGAAACCATAGGTAAGCTGGGGAGCATGCAGAGGAGGGCCACAAGGGGGACAAAAGGCCTAGAGTTCATGTCATTTGAGGATCAGATGAAGAAACTGGGAGTGCACAGAGTGGAGAACAGAAGACTATGGTGAGGATGGAGGGGGGGAATGCGAGAGTCATATTCAAGTATTTGAAGGTTTGTCATATGAAAGAGGGTTATGCTGTTTGGCCCAAGGGAGAAGAACCAAGATCAGTGGATGGAAATACCAAACAGGTAAATTTAGGTTTTGTGTAAAGAAAAACAATTGTTGCTGTTCAGTCATATCCAACAACTCTTTGTGACCCTGTGGACTTTAATGCGGTCCGTGGGGTTTTCTTGGCAAAGATACTGGAGTGGTTTGACATTTCCTTCTCCAGCTCATTTGACAAATGAGGAAACTGAGATAAACAGGGGTGACTTGCTCAGGGTCACACAGCTAACAAGTGTCTGAGGCCAGATTTGGACTCAGGTCTTCCTGTCTCCAGGCCCAGTGCTTTATCCACTGAGTCACCTAGTTGCTTCCTAGGCAAACAGGGGTAAATGACTTGCCCAGGGTCACACAGCTAGTAAGTGTCTAAGCCTGGTTTTGAACTCAGGTGTTCCTAACTCCAAGCTCTATCCACTGAGCCACTTATCTGCCTCTAAATAAAAACAATTAGAGCTATTCAAAAATGGAATCGGCTGCCTTAGGAGGTGGTGGGTTCCCTTTCAACTGAGGAGCAAATGATCATTTTGTCAGATATGTTATAGACAGGATTCCTTTCTGGTAGAAGTTGGACAAGATGGCCAAAGAGGTCTCTTCCCACTCCAAAATTCAGTGATTCTGTGAAATGTTAGCTCTCATTTGTAGTGGCAAAGAACTGGAAACCATCAGTTGGGGAATGTTGAAACAAGATACAATATATGAATGTGTTGGAATTCTATGATACTGCAAGAAATGGTGAAGGGCATGTTTTCAGAGAAGCCTAGGAAGACTTGCATAAATGGAGGCAGACTGAAGTGAGCAGAACCAGGAGAACAATTTATATAATAAAAACAATATAGTAAAGACAACATGTGTAAAAGACTTAGGAACTCTGATTAACACAATGACTAACCTTGTGTGTGTGCATGTGTGTGTGTGTGTATGTGTGTGTTTTAGATATGCCATTGTGATCTGTTTTACTTGACTATAAGTATTTGTTATAAGGGCTTTGTTTTTCTTCATTTTTCAATTCAGATGCGGTGGCATGGGAGAGAAAGTGGATTTTGGTTCGTTTAAAAATAAACATTGATGCTAAAAAGAAATAAAAAGAAATGTCAGCTATTATTATTAAGCCCAGCAGAGATAATCCACCTGCTGACAGAATTTACTGCATCATTTTTTCACAGCTGTTTTCCCAAGGGTTATTTTGGCCCTTGTTTGGTGACTATTTTGTTCTATGTTGATCTTTAAATGTTTCGTATAAAAAGGTCATAAAATTCTTATTGTGGATCTAAAATTCAAGAAGACTGAGAAAGTCATGTTTTTATGTGCTATAAAGTGAAAAAATCAGCAGCTGTATTTGCAAGGTCAGCTTGTGGTACCTATTGAAGTCTTTGAACATTGCCACTATGGAAACTCATCCATTGGCATTTAGAAAATTATCTATTAAGTACATTAATCCGTGGGAAGGGGGGGGACGGGAGGGGAGTGTGGTGGCAGGTCTTGTATATTCTGAAAATTGACTAGCCAGGCATCTCTAGCTAAAGATAAGTGTGCAAACAGGGTGCCTCAGAGTCGAACGTTTATCTAATGGCATGAAATTACTGAACTTACTGATATGCTTTGAAACTCATTAACTTTGCTTTTGCGGAGCAGCTAGGTGGCACAATAGATAGCACTCTGGGCCTGAAGTCAGGAAGACCTGAGTTCAAATCTGGCCTCAGACCCTTACTGACTGTATGACCCTGGGCAAGTCATTTAATGCTATGTGCCTCATTTTCCTCATTTGTAAAATGAGCTGGAGAAGGAAATGGTAAACCACTCCAGTGTCTTTGCCAAGAAAATCCCAAATGAGGTCACAAAGAGTCGGACATGACTGAACAACAACAATAGCTTTACTTTTACCAGTGAAGGGAAATAATTCAGCATCTGCTTAGAGGTCCATGTAAGGTTTACCACTGAGAGCAATGACACCTAGTTAATTTAGTATTTGAAGTATGGCATGGCAGTAGGGCAATAGACTTCAATTCCAGGAGACCTGTGTATAAGAACTGACTCTCACACTTTCTAGTTGTATATCCATGGGCAAGCCACTTAATGAAAGGTATTTAGTTACATGAGGGCTATGTGCCAAGCACTGGAGATGCAAATGCAAAAAGGAGATGGTCCTTGCCCTCAAGGAGCTTACATTCTAATATTTTTCAGTCATGTCTGACTATTTTTTACCCCATTTCGGGTTTTCTTAGCAAAGATACTGGAGTGCTTTGCCATTTCCTTATCCAGCTCATTTTACAGATGAGGAAACTGAGGCAAACAGGGTTCAGTGACTTGCCCAGGATCACACAGCTCTTTGATTCTTGAAGATGATTCTTTCTGATTCCAGGCCTAGCACTCTATCCACTGTGCCACTTAGCTTTCCCTTATATTCTAATAGAGGAAGACAATATATCTAGGGAAGTGATAAATAGTAAAGGATGAAGTTATAGGGACAGTGAGTTAAACTAAAGGATAATAAATGGTGTGCCCTTTCCAAAAGTAATGGTCATATTCAATTACGCTTATTTCAAGAAGTAGAAAGACTGGGGGAGGAGGTTTGGAGTAGAGAAGTACCTTCCACTGTATCATAACAAGAAGATGGTATGGTCAAGAGATTGGGCGTGGCTAGATAGAGTGAACTCACTTCCCAACACAGCCCTGTGGCAGAAACTAAGAGTTTCATCTGAGTTAATGCAAAACTTGAGCTGCAGTAGCAATGGATCACATGCCGGGAAAACAGAACTTAACCTCAGTTTCTTCAACAGTCAAACTAATTTACTTACCACTTCCATGCCTTTCCATAAGCCATCCTCCATGCTTGGAGTGCACTTCCTCCTAATGACCACACACTTATCCACCCCAGAGGATCCCTTACCTTTTTTCAAAACACAGCTCAAGTGTCTCTTCCTACAGAAATCTTTTTCTGATTTCTCCAGTTGTGAACTCTTCCCTGAAGTAGCTAATTACCACAGTGGATAAATCGCTGAGCCTAGAGTCAGGAAGACCTGAGTTCAAAGGTGGCCTCAGACACTGACTAGATGTATGACACTGGGAACATCACTGTCTACCTCAGTTTCCTCAATGTAAAAAAAGGATAGTAATAGCACCTACCTTCCTGGATTGTTGTAAGGATCAAATGAGATAATATTTGTAAAGCACTTATCATGATGCCTGGCACATAGTAGGTGCTTAATATATGTTTGTTCCTTTCTCCTCCTTCTTCCCTGAAATTATTTTGTATTTATTTATCTGTGTACATATTGTTTTTCTCCAAAAGAATGCAAGCTCCTTGAAAGTAGAGACTGTTTTGTTTTTCTTTTTGTATCTGTGGAACCAGCACAGTGCCTGGCACATAGCAGGTATTCAATAAATACTTACTGAATTAAATTAAATAGAATCTATAAAAAAGGAATAATATTTGAACTCCCTATCTTATAGATGCTTTGTAAACCTAGAAATGCTATTCGAATGTTAAATTTGACCATTATTTTTATTTAGTTGTCAAGATGGACTAAACAGAAGGCTAAGGAACAAATATTTGGCTCTATATTATGCTACTTCATGCCATCGGGAAACATAATAGGCATGCCTACCTTCTTTGGTGTTCATCAGTGCATCCCATAACCATACCCCCAAGAATGTAAGCACCTTGAGGGCAGAGGATATTTTTGTTTCTGTGAGTCAACAGGCATTTATTAAGTCCTATGTGCTGGGGCACTATGCTAAAAACTGAGGATATAAAGAAAAGCAACAAAAATAACAATGAAAGTTGCTCTCTTCCAGGATCATATGTTCTGATATACCCTGAGAAGGTGACACAGGGCCTGGCACATAGTAGGTGTTCCATAAATATTTGTTGAATTGAATAAAATTGAAATTGGAACCAACCAGGTGATTCCAGTGGATCTCATTTATTCATAACTAGGGCTATCCTGTATTCTCATTACTTTCTGATGGCACTCCAAGCTAAGCACCATACTAATACATACAAATAATGACCATTTCATGGCTACTAGACCATAAATTCCATGATGATAGATATTGTAGTTTGTTCATCTCTGTGTCTGCTATAGAAACTAGCGTGGTCTCCAGCATACAGTAGCTTCTCAAACGATACTTATTGAATTAATTTGCTGAATAACTGGTAAAGTGTTGGCTTGATCATGAGAATCAGGCCTATCTTGATGCTTTGTAAGCGATAAACAAATTAATTAATTAATTAATGGGTGGACGGGTGAATGAATGAATAAATAAACAAACAAATAAATAAATAAATAAATGCATGAATGAATGAACACTGTGTTATGTCTTCCACAGACTTAATAGATGAATCTGATGAATGGTATAGCTTAGGCTGGATGATCTCTACAATCCTTTTTAATTCTCTGATTCGATACTATCTTGGTCCAATCTTTTTTTTTCATCCATAGTCATATGGATATACCCTATGACTAATTTTTTTTAAGTAACATGATTCTGTGCTTACTTTGCAGATCTTAATAATTTCATTTGTTCTCAAAGTTCTCTATTTTGGTCCCTTAGGATTCTTCTGTGTACTGAACAACAACATCTCCTGGTGGTCTCCTGCAAGTCCTCTCCAGAGTTCCTTACTCTCAACCTCAGGCAAATGAAAACTGAACTTTCTATACAACATAAAAAGTGAGAAAAGAGGACGTGACATGCTCCATAAAACAGGTAGGATCAGATTGCTCTGGTCAATTTACATGGTTCGCCATTGTGAAAATGACTCATTCGCTAGAATCAGAAACCATTCAAGTTCAGCCTTGTAGAAGAATGGTGGATGGCGTAAGGAGTAAGGAGGAGAAAAAAGGTCCTCTCTCTTCTTGGATGTTGATATAGCAGGCATGTCTAGGGCCTTGGTATAAAAGCCTTTTTAACTTCATGATCACAGGAAAAATGGAATATTTCAATGGATGCTGGCTTTTCTCTGGATTTATTCAGGCAGTTATCCATGAAAATTTTGACTGATTTTAGGTGTAACCTCTTTTATCACTACTTAGAATGAAATACTCAGGAGTTGAAAAAAAAAGGAGGAAAAAAAGCCTACTTTGTCAAGGACTTCTGGTAGATTTGGTTTCTCCAGGGCTACATCTAATTGATTTGAGAATCATCCTTGATGGAATAACCTTGTTCTAGAAGCTGCAGTACTTTGACCATTCTTATTTAAGTTGAAAAGAATGTTTTATGTACTGAAAGCTTCAAAAATAAATGAGCCCATTTTCAAACATGTGAGATGCTGAGATTTAAAACAATTAAAAGCAGATTGTAGACTCCATAACCCCCATTTACCCATCAACTTCTCCTTTGCATTTGAATTACCTTAGTTACAGAGTTGTGTGGTAATTAATTAACAACTGGCTCTCCAAAAAGCAAGACACACATCGAAGTATAATCTGCATTATTAACATTTTTCTCCATCACTTTCTTAAGTCTAGACAATTAACAAAACAAATTAGGCCATGATGCACAGATTTGTCAATTTTCAAATTATAAATGTTCATGCTGAAAATTTAACAATTGGCTTTCAGCAAACTGGGACAAGCAGACTCTAGAAACATCCTTTTCTAAATACTATAGCTGAGAAGCATAATGAAGTAGTGGATACAGTGGGACCAGCATCAAGAAGACCTGGGTTCAAATCCAGCCTGTGACCCACATATTAAGAATATAACTTAAGTTACTTAGCCCCTCAGTGTCCTCAGGCACATTTCTGAGACAATGAAGTATGAAACAGTTGCTGGTGCACTGGTAGAGGGCATTTCCTCACCATGAACTCCTAATGCCAATGAAATCATAGATCTGGATCATACATGCATATACACACACCCCTATCTGTTCATGTACATAGATACATGCATGTACACAAATACATAAGTACGTGCATATATCAATAACGCACACATGTCCACATGCCTATGTGTGCAAGTACATGTGTACACACATGAAAAAATACATGTATGCATGCATGCATACACAGAAGGACAACAAATGCATTAATGTGACTTTAGCCTTTCTGGGAGTATGCGGTATAATGAATGGGATAAGAAGTCCATTGTGAGGAGACCTACATTTTAATCCAGGTTCTGCTACTAAATTGCAATGTGACCTTGAGAAAGTCACTTAAATTCTGCGAATATTTGCTTATATGTAAAACAAGAAAGCTGGATTCTCTAGGGTCCCTTTCAGATCTGTGAATTCATGGCATCTAAACTATGTAGCCATAATAATAGCTTCTTTATATACTGCCTTATAGTTTCAAAGCACTTTTTTCTATATATCAACCAAACATTTAATAAATGCCTACTATATACAAGCATTGCACTAATAGGCAAAAGACAACCTCTGTCCTCAAGGAGCTTACAATCCAACAAGGAAAACAACATGCAAGCGAAAATATACAAAGCAAGCTATATACAGGAGAAACAGGAAATAATTAACAACTGGAAGGCACTGAAATTAAGAGGGTTGGGGAAGACTTCCTACAGAAGGTAAGATTTTAGTTGCGACTTAAAGAAAGCCAGGGAGGTCAATAGTCTGAGCAGAGTGGGGAGAGTGTACCAAGCACAAGGGACAGCTGGAGAAAATGCCCAATGCCTCTGAGATCCCTTCCTAGCCAAGACCTGTGATCCAAAGATCCAGACGTCCCTCTATCAAAGTACAAAGGAAATTCCTAGATATGCTAGGACCTAGGATAGACAGTCAGCCTAGATGACTTCACATTTAAATGAGATACACATAATCACATTTTTTTAGGTCACAAATTTAGTCTTGGAAGGAAACTTAGAGATCAGTTATTCCAATACTTTCATTTTGCAGATGATAAAATTAAAGCCAGAGAGGTTGAGGGACTTGCCCAAGGTAATTTGGGACTTTTCTGAGGCAGTATTTGAACCCAGAAGTTGGGGAGCTCTGGGGTTATGCAGATTGATTTCAAAAAGGCTTGCAGAGGATGCAGGGGCAAAAATACTTATGTTTGTGGGAAATGGTATAGAATGTTTAGTGCTTAGAGAGGAAAGATGGGTTTTGATACTTATGATTTTTCTGGAGGTAAGAGAGGGTGGGAAGGGAGAGGAGAGAGTCCAAAAAGTCTAACACCATCAGCATAAAGTAAAGTGCATAATAAGTACTTTATCTTACTTGGAAAGAGCAAAGGACTGAGTCAGTCCTCTGGAGATTTGACTGCTAAGCTACTGCTTTCTTGACTTTAGCTCTCAAACTATCCTTGGACATCCATGGTTATTACAACTTGAAGTCCTCACTGCAAATCCATTCTGAAGCCAGTTTTAGGACCTTGAGAGGCTTTCATTGAGGTCAGAGAGATGATAATAAGAAGGTCAGGGCCTCCCCTTATGTCAGTCAGCTAATTGACTTTTATAAAGCTCCTACTATGTGCAAGGTGCTGTGTCAAGAGCTAGGGATACCAAGACAGGCAAATCCAGCTCCAATATGAACTCCCATGGAGCTCACAGTCTAATAGTTAAGGTAACGTGAAAAACAACTCTGTACAAACAAGATATATACAGAATAAACTGAAGACAATCAACAGAGGGAAGGCACCAGCATGAAGAGGGGATAGGGAAAGGTTCCCTGGGGTTTTAGCTGGGACTTGAAGGGAGCCAGCAATGCCAGAAGGCAGAGATAAGGAAGGAGAGTATTCCACTCATGGAAAACAGCCAGTGAAAATGCCCAGTCTAGCGATGAAGTGTTTTGTGTGAGGAACACCAAGGAGGCCAGGGTCACCAGATTATAGGGTGTGCAGTGAGGAATGAGGTATAAAAAGACTGATCATCAGATTAGTCACATATATTCTTAAGCCTTACGTATCCAAAAGATCTCTAGGGGTATCTGAGTGCTACACATTGTTAGTGATGATAGATCATCATTAATACTAAAGCTATAAGAACTCAAAAAGAGCCTTAACTCAGAACTAGTTGTAATGAGCCATGCTATGTTAATTGTATAGCTTCTCATTTATTCAGCCTCACCCTATAATTAGCACAGTATTGAAAAGAGAGTTTTCCATGACATTAAAATTCACACTGAGCACATCCTCTAATTATTTTATATCTCCACATTAGTGCCTGAACTTCTCCTAACAATGGGCGGGATTGCTTATTAACAGAAAAAGAAGCATAAATAAGCCCATGCCCCAAAAGTATTAAAACTATCCTGATTTTATTTTTGGAATGCAGAGAAATAGGGATAGAGAGGCAGAAGAGAAAAGGAAGGAAGGACTCATAAATCTAGAGAAGAAGTAATCTAAAGGTCTTCTGGCTCAACCTCTTCATTTTACACATGAGGAAACAGTGCCTTTCACATGGTTGCACTGGTAATAAGCATCAGAGGTGGGTTTAAACATAAGCATATCTGATTTTGGAGTCAGTGATTTTTCTACTTTACCATGAGGAGAAGCGTTGGAGGAGGGCACTAGCAGTTTTGGGGTTGGGGAAATAAGGCAAAGCTTCATATAGAAGGTGGTGCTTGAGCTGTCTTGAAGAAAGAGAAGGATTCTATGATGAGGTAATGCTTTCCAGGTATGGCAGATGTCCAGTGCGGAAAAAAGAAGACGGAGAATCCTGTGTGAGAAATAGGCCAAACTGGCTGGATCCTAAAGTGTAGAAAGAGAGTAATGTATAATAAGACTGGAAAGATAGGTTGGAACCATATTGTAAAGTGCTTTAAATGCCAAGCAGAGGCATTTGTAGTTTATCCTGAAGGCAATAGGGAGCCAATGGAGTTGATTGAGTAACAGAATGATATGGTTGGATCTGCAATTAAGGAAAATCACTTTGTTAGCTGTGTGGAAGGCTGGTCTAGAGCGGAAAGAGATTTGAAGCAAGAGACCAATTAGGAGACCATTGCAATAACCTTAGGTGAAAGGTAAACTAAATTGGTCACTTATTAGAGCAGAGAAAAGGAATCAGTTGAGAGAAATGTTGTGAAGATAGGAACAAGATTTGGCAACTGATCAGATATGTAGAAGAAAATGAAGAATCAAGGATTTTGCTGAGGTCACAAACCTAGGATACTAGAAAAATGATGATCCCTTTGATAGAAATAGGGAAGTCTAGAAAAACGAAGTTTGTGTTTTGGATGAGTTTGAGATGTCTCTGACACATCCAGATTGAAATATCTAATAGTTGGTACTTATGTGAGATCCTTCAGCAGTTATGACTTCCCACTCACAGGTTCCATTTTCTCAATCACTGCAGAATGGCTTCTGAAATCATTGGTAAAAGCAAAGGTCATCTGCCAGACAACAGTGGCATATGTCCAATTTGTGCTGAACTGCCTTGTGGGTTAATGAATACAGCCCTTCTAGAGAAACTTGCTCTGAACAAGTAAAATGCCCAGGGGAAAAAAATGTGATAATGGAGGTCACAACACGTTAGTAAAATGGGTATTTAATAGCCTTACCAACAACATAGTGTTACTTCTCTTAGGAATCTAATTATGCCCTCAGGTACCATAGTCATGACCCAGCTCTCCTTTATTTTGTTTCTGTTACCTGGGCCTTGAGTAGAAACTAGGATATTTCTACAGTTAGACCAGATGGACATTAAGGATCTGGTCAGTAAGGGGACATAGCCAGGGAGGGATCCCAATTAGTAGAATGATAGTTAGTCAAGTGCTATAATTCCAAGTGAAGAGGCAGAGCCTAAAGGTCTGAAGAA